CTCCACACCATTAATGTCTTGTGCGGACATCCGTATTTCGACTTTCGGTTGTAAGTAAGCGATTTAAAAGCTCCCAAGTCCCAGCGGAGTCACACGTTGATTAACCGGTGGGAATATACACAATAGGCCTACCTGATATTGAACACAAGAGGGCAGTATAGCACTACGTATGACTCAGATTATTATTTTTTTATGAATTTTACTACAATTCTGGCTGTTTTTGAACGTAAACATAATTCTTAAATGAAAAAAAGGAAAAATTGGGGAAGTTATAATATTTGTATAATTTAATTTAGAAACAAATGATGTATAATTACATTTTTAGAAGATATGAGGCTTTTAGTGTTTACTTTTTTGACATTACTTTAATATTTTGCCATAGTTGCACATGTCTACTGGCTAATAAATGTGATGTATCTGTTGAGTTTCAAGCAATTTCAAGCATGCTAAGAGTCCCAAAAGCATCAAAAAAGAATGTTAAAGTTTGATTCGTTGCCACGGCAACAGTATCAAAGATATCAAAAATTCTTTCACAGGTCTGCATCTGCCGTGTATTTACATTATACAGATGAAGTTTGAAGCAAATCGGTTAAAAATAAGAGAGTGGTTTCAAAGCATTTTGAAAGTGACACACTTCCTGCTGCCAGTTGGTGGCGCTATAACTTTGACTCACAATAGTCACATCCATGTGATCGGTCTCTTACAGCGAAAACACTGCTGAAGTTTCATCAAGATCAGTTAATGTATGCTGAAGTTATAACACACATCCTGTTTCATGTTTCTCGCCATAATTTCGTTTCCTCGCCACGGCCAAACCGTTCGAGATATAAAAAATCCATTGGCACCTTTTCATCCTTAATGTCTTGACTTCACGCTGATCGAGTTTTGTCGAATTTGGTTCAGTGCTCTAGGATCAATACTTGAAATTCCATTACATGTGTTTTAAACACAACCCTAAATAGCCGTCTTCCTGTTGGGCTGGGGTAAAAAGTAAGAGTGTGAAGTAGGCTATATATGAAACGATGAGATCTATATGTGTACCGAGTTTCATATTATTACATGCAAGTGTGTTTGAGTTATGGACCAAATTTTCAGACCAAGTTTATTGACCAAGTTAATCTGATTAATAAACTAATTATATAAAACTATTGTCAATGCACTACAATTAAACTAGTTATATGCCTTTACTTATAAAAAATAAAACTAAAAACTTATTTAAAAAATACCAGGCTTGAGAAATGTATTTTCTTTATGCAGGTCATACACACAGCAGTGAAATGGTTAAGCCCCCTCCCCCTGCACACACACACACACACACACACACACAGACAGCCAGCCAGCCAGCCAGCCAAAGACACAGAGACACAGAGACATGTAGGCTCAGAGTGGCCATATTCAAACAAAAATATCTGACTTTCTGTGGGTCCTAGCTAATAAGTGTCAATTAGAAAGTTGTCCGGCTCGAGGAGTACAATATACATACCAATTTTTGTAACTCTAGTTAAAACTAACCACCCCACTTTTGTCAAAAGGTGGCGCTACTGAGCCCTCACCACGCCCGTTTCTGCAACTTTGCACATGTCTACTGGCTAATAAATGTTATGTGTCTGTCGAGTTTCATGCAATTTGAATAGGGGTGCAACGGATCAAAAAACTCACGGATCGGATCGTTTCTCGGATCAGGGTCACGGATCGGATCATTTTTCGGATCAGCAAAAAAAAAAAAAAAAAAAAAAAAAAAAAATTCCCCCAAAATAACTGTAATAGCCTACTGACAAATTCTTTAATAATAAATAGACTTAACATTATGATATTCTGTTTTATTTTAACTTCACAGGGTTCCAGACTGAAAGTTGAAGGCAGCATCACCTCAAATGAGAACTCACAGCAAGTTCTACAAAAAAAAAAAAAAATAAATAAATAAAAAATTCTGGTAGCACTGGGGCTGACAATAAATCACTAAGCTTAATTTAGGGTGTAGATGAAATTAACTTAGTTATTATCATTTATAATGTCTTAATATCAATTAATAAAAGTAGTGAAAATATCATCGTACTTTTTTCATTTTAGGACAATCTTTAAAGGATAAACAAAAAAATGTGTTGGTAATCACATAAAAAATTCAAAAAAATAAAACATTTATTTATGATATTATTGAAGTGCTGGGAAAAGATGTGTAGTAGGCTACTTGTAAGCATTTGACTATTTCTTACACATTATCATAGGCTGATTTGTGGACTGAGAGCCTTCTATAAGTGTTTCTCCTGGTTTCCACGTCAGCTCTGTTTGATCTGATATGGTTTATAACAGAAACCTGCGCCGAATCGGAGTGTTTCTCACTGGATCTCGTGGTGTTGATATTAATTCTTAGGCGAATTCAATGGATTTCTTCACTGGATCTGCTAGTAACAGTGTTGCGTGAGCGAGATCGGCCCGCGACTGGCAAGTTCGGGGCTTTATTTTGTCAATGGATCGCTGCTGCTGCTCCGACCACGGTCCTAATCATAAATGAGTAGCGTATTTTCGTTCCACTTTCATTTTGTTTGCATTCGCTGCTAGGTAACGACTAACGAGTCGATAGATCGCTGATTGCTCAGACGCACATCAGGTTGTGATATTTGTCTCCGTCTCCCTCCCACAGATGTTTACGCGCGCTATTCTTGTCACGGATTCATTGACGCACCGCTTTACCATGCGTTTAACGTGTGGCAAATTTACTGGTCGCACATGTGCGACTGGATGTAAAATTCAGTCGCACACTCTCAAATTTTGGTCGCAGTCTGGTCTGGAGCCCTGAAATGACGCGGGGCGTTCAAGCTTCTCCGTTCCTCCGCTCGCTATGACGAAGCTGTGCGTTGACTGAACAACATGCGCACGTTTTTTTTTTTTTTTTTCATAATCAATCCGCGGATCACGTGTGTGCCGAACCGAAGACATTGATCCGAACGGATCACGGATCAGTGATGATCCGTTGCACCACTAAATTTGAAGCATGCTAAGGTC